CAGGCTGGTGTGGTGGGAGCCCCTTAGCTTGGGGGTCAGCAAAGTGTTTCCTCCCAGGAAGGCCTTCCACCATGTGTGCTCGAACCAGTCAAAGCTAACCAAGGAGCCCACACCGCCATCCCTGCCTGGCATCCAGACAGGATCACCAAACTGCCTCAGCCTTCTGGTGAGTGACCTATGTCTCCCAGAGATAAGCTACACCGAACACCTGGATCACCTCTTCAGAAGAGCTTCTGAGCAGAGCCACCTCCCTCACCAGGACTCTCTGGTATGCTGGACGCGGCGGGGCTGGGGTGAAGGACGATCCTAGAAACAGTGCTTGGCAGTGCTCAAAGGAGAAGCATTGTCCAAGGCTGGTGGATGTGCACATCAGGCGATGTGTCCACAAGGAGAGGTGGAAAACAACATAGGAAGGAAAAGAAACAAAAGCCACAGGAGAAAAGGGATCCAGGAAGGAACGGCCACCCCTCAACAAACACGAAGACCCTCCCCAGAGCAGTCAACTAGCTTCTCTTCAGAACCAAACAGCACGCGGGGGCCTGTTTCCAGAGCCTTGGTTGTCAGGAGAGGTAGGGACTGGAGCAACTCAGCGGCTGTCAGGGGAACTAGAACAAGTCCCGGGCAGGACAGGGATGGCACGGCAAGGGGACTGTAACCAGGCATTAGTGTAGCTGCTCAGATGAGACCGACAAGAAGCCAGCAATCTGATCAGAGGCGGGGAGCCAGGAGAGCTACTGAGGGGTAGGGTACCTCCGCGGTCCCGGGGGGATGTCTGTATGGTCCATTAGGCAAGTCCAGAGAGATCCTTCCCTCCTCCCCCTGCCATTTGTCCCTGTGGGAGGCCGACAGGTCACCTAAGCCCAAAGACAGACGGCTGAAGTCAACATTCACCTGCTTTGGAAACCCACTTCCTCTGCTGTGTGGGTGGGGAACGAAGCCATTCTTAAAGGTCTAAGGATTTCTGAGATTCTTTTCTTCCAGGATACCCCTACAATGCCCTAAGCCACCAAGTCACGTAGGACCCAGAGGAATCATCTGTCCAACCTCCTTATGTCACAGAGAAAGAAACGGATGTCCAGAGGGGAAAACAACTTGCCCTAAACCTCAGAGTAATCGGGAGCAGAGCCAGGTCGAAAACTCAAATCTCTGACTCATCACCTCCCCACTTTCCATCAAACCACCTTACACAGGGTGCCCACTGAAGAGGGAGGCAGGTGCAACACTCCTGCCTCACTCCCAAAACCTCAAGCCACCATGTCTTTGAGGGAACGGTTCACTGCCCAGGAGCCTGACCTGCTAACCCTAACGGCCAGCTGGAGAATACCACTGACTGCCCAGCTCTCAAACGGCAGAGAGCACGAGCCCTCAGACCAGACAGCAGCCTTACCTCTCCTTTTGTGTGATCTTCAGTTTTTTTTCCAACCGTCTGTCTATTTCCTAGAGGAAAAAAATGTATATAAAAAGTGGAAAAAAATCTCTCTCAAATAAAAACTTACGTCTTTATTTTTAGAGCTAAGGGCAGTGTCCTCTCTAGCCAGGGACATAACTGTCCTTTAGGGTAACGGATACGGACCTCCCTTTACTAGACTCTAGGGTTTGGGGACCTGACTCCCTGTGGGGTTCATCTCCCTCCATCCCCATGGCCACGGCGATAGTTCTAGGCCTCATCATTAAGCTGGGTTCTTTGCATAGCCTCCAACTGGTCTCCGGGCCTCTAATCTCCTTCACAGCACCACTCAAATCAACTTTCTAAACACAAATCTGATTGTGTCACTTCCCCATCTAAAATGCTTCAAAGACTTGCCCCATCTAGTCCAAGCTCCTACACACGCCTCACCCGTATCTTCCTTTATCTTCTGTTCCTGTTTTACACCAGAGCAAAACCGAGCTAGCTCTTCGTAACCCCCAGAACACAGAGTGCTGCTCCACCTGCCTGCAATGTGCTTCCCCTTGCAAACTCCCCTTTATCCTGCAAGACCCAGCTTGGCTGTCCGCCTCTCCTTTGTGAAGTCTTCTCTGATCCCATACAGCTATTCTGCTCCTGAGATAAGCTCTCTTACGTTCCTTCATGATCACACGTATCACATATTTTATAATCTATTTTTTTACTGTCATGGATTTGAACTCTGTGGTTAGCACCTAGCATAAGGCCTAGAACAAAACAGAAGCCTAAAGTCTGTGAAACTGGATGGCAGTCTGAGCCCTCAGCACCAGGAGCTCCATGAAACCTCCACACACTCACGCACAAGTGTCCAACAGATGGGGGGAGCTGTACACAGAGCACAGACCACATGTCCAAGCTCCTTGGCTGTCCTACTCCTTTTTCTTATGAAACATCCCACTCAACGGTTCTCAGTGAGGGCAAGACCATCTAGCTACTGGAGCAGAAAGAAATTTTATGCAAAATTATGTATTTCTCTGGAAAGAAGATCTGTAACAGTGGTTCTCAACCATGGTGATTTTGCCCACCAGGGGACATTTGGCAATATCTAGACATATTTTTGGTTATCTCTACTGGAGAAGAGGTGCTACTGGAATCTATTGTGTAGAGGCCAGGGATGCTGCTAAAATCCTACAATGCACGCAACAGCCCCCACAGCAAACAATTATCTAGCACCAAATGTCAGTAGTGCTGAGGCTGAGAAGCCCTGACTTAAAAGATACATGGGATTTTCAAAGGAATCTATTACTTGCAAAATGTTAAGAATCACTGTCTCAGTACAAAGTCTTTGAAATTTGCTGAGATCCACCTCAGGGCACAGTGAGTTGCAGTTTTCACAAATGCTCCGTGTGTCTTGAAAATGACTTTGACAGTGATAGGTGCAGTCCAAGCTGGTTAACTATATTGCTCGAATCTTCTAAATTGTTGTTGATTTGTTTCATCTACTGACTATGGAAATAATCAACAATTACTCTTTCTAGTAAATTAAACAGTTTACCATTATGAAGTGATCTTCTTTGCCTTACAATCGTTTAATAATAAAGCCATCCCATTTGGGGTGGAGTTAGCTTTCCCTGTAATGTGTTTATCTTTTAATTTTCATCTTTCCAATGTCCTTATTTTTGTCTATAAACAATCTGAAGCCAGACTTAAATCCAGTCTGACACTGACACTCATTCTGACTGGTGCAAAATTGTATTTAATTTTTTTTGTTGTTTTTATGAAAAGACCCAAAATATATTGAGGCAAACACGACAGACTGTATTCTGAGGAACCCATGAACTCTCTGGCTAGGACACCTCTAGAATGAAAACTTCTCACTCAAGTTTGGAGCACAAGCTGGCTGGCGTCCAATGACTGTTTAATGATCAAATGGAAAAGGGGCGCTGAGAGTGAGAGGGTGATCTAGATGTTTTCTGTGAACTGACAGACAGACACTCAAAGAAAATCTACGCCCACTGCACAGTCCGTGTCGGAACTGTAATTCTTCTAGTTTTTTATTTTATTTCATTCCTAGTGTCGTTACCTGAGTAAATACTGTGTCTCTTGTTAGTCTAATGACCGTTACTTTTTATGGGCTCGTCAAGGCTTTCCACAAAAAATAAATATGGTTTTAAAGTTCCACACATTTTGCTCAATCTGAAAAATGAGACTGCCTATTCAAGTTTCCCCATCATAAACGCAGAGTTTACCTACCACCTGTGGGATTTAGATGCCTTTAAACAAGGTCAAAACCAAATGTCTCCACAGGCCAGGCAAGTAACCAAACTCCATATGCAGGGAGCACAGTGGGGGAAGTGAAGGGGCTATAAGGCACCAAAGAGCACCAGCCCTGTTTTTTTAGGAGAAACTTTAATTCAAGATTTGTATGGGAAAGCTCTAAAATGTTAAACTTTATTACATGAACTCTTGCTTTCATATCACCGAGAGGATCCATTAAGATATATAGGCAAATGGGCCCAAACTCCTAAGAATCCAAGTCATTCGATTTTTTTAAATTGTGGTAAAATACACATTACATTAGCTGAATTTGAGGGGTCTCATCCAGCTTTCCTCTCAGGAGAGCAAACTGCTTCCTTCTTTCTCTAGGGCCTTAGGGAAGACAGGGGGTCTGCCCAGGCCCAGCAGATGGAGCCCAAGTGGAATAAAACCTTCAAGAGGGCATATGGGCCGTGCCTGAGTACATGTGCTCTGGCCCCAAACTAGAACATGACCAGGATACTTGACATCTAATATAAAACTACTAGCTTTAAAAATAATGCCTTACGCCAGTATAATACGTTATGGCTATTAATACACGTTCCCAAACACTCATTTTCTGCTCACACGAACCTCATTTGATAGACAAAGTAGCTTTTAGCCTTCTCTGTCACATGAGGGTAATGTGGCTCAGGGAAGTTAAAGACTTACCCAAGGTCACAAATTAGTACCTCACAGAGGCAGCCCTAGACCTAAAGCATTTGGAGACCCTACCCCATGCTGCCGCTCACAATTGCTCAAATCCTTGGAATTGCCAGTAAAGCTTTAGATATTGATCCTCTCTTCCTCAGCCTTCCTGAATTCCACACTGCTTCATGGCACTCCGAAAACTAACAATAACACTCCCATGGGACTCCCAGCCCCGAACTCCCTCACGTCACATCAGGCAGGACAGCTTATCTGAGCTGAGGAGGAATTCTTCCATCAGATGACAGAATGGGATATAAATCCAACGGCTCTGGTGGAAAGCTGATCCAGGCTATCTCCACATGGCCCCTGGACACCAGCCTGCTCAGAGCCATCCAAGCAGGAGAGGGAGTGTTCTGCCAGCAGCTTAAGAAGGTACTGCATCTTGCTCTGGATTCTGTCCACGTATCATGAGTCAGTCCATTCTCTCCTTCGACAAGGCCTTACAATCAATCTGCTCTCAGACTTATGCTCTGAAAAGCTGGACCAAGTTGAAACTCTCCTACAGGGCACACTACACGGAGAATACTCATCTTCTCCAGAGATGCGATAGCCCAATGGAATTAAACAGCCCTCAGACATGCTGTGTGAGGAAGTATCTAGATGTAGGCCCCAAAAAGGAATCTTATCACCTAAGGACACCTTCTCTTTTTACAAGAATGTACAGAGCCCTGGCCAAGGTCAAGGCTCCTGTGTTAGAAATCCAACCTCCATGGATAGTGAAAGAAATCCATAAGCTCATCGTTCTGACTCCGCTCTGAGGGTCACAGGGCATAAGCACATCAGAGGCAAGGTGCTAAGAAAGTTTGATTTCCTATGGCTTCTCCTGGAAAGGCTCTTTTTTTTTTTTTTTTTTTTGTCAAGTAGCACTGAGCAGAAGCCAGAAGATGATGCTGTGTTAAGTGGGGTGGCCACCTCTCTGGGTCAAAATCCTAAACAAAAGATCTGTTGTTATCAAACACAGGTATCACTTGCCCTGTGGGGTTACACCTCTACGAAAATAAAGCACATGCTTCTTGGTCTGAAAAAACAACTGAAACC